TAATGTTCTCTCATTTTCAGGTAACATTCCGACTCCGCACGTGAAATACCACGCTGGAGGGAACCCGTACCAGTTTTTCTCCTTTAAATTCAGTTTTTCTCCAGTTTTTAAAGCCTTTATTTCAAACATAAATCCTTTAATGTGAAGTAATTTTTTCTCTCGTTTTCAGGTAACATTCCGACGCCGGACGTGAAATACCACGCTGGAGGGAACCCCTACCAGTTTTTCTCCTTTAAATTCAGTTTTTCTCCAGTTTTTAAAGCCTTTATTTCAAACATAAATCCTTTAATGTGAAGTAATTTTTTCGCTCGTTTTGCAGGTAACATTCCGACGCCGGACGTGAAATACCACGCGGGAGGGAACCCGTACCAGTTCCACCTGTGCGGCACGAGCTTCTCTCTCGGAGGAGGCAACAAGATGCACATGAACGCCTTCTCCTCCGGAAAGAAACCCTACAACTGCGACATATGCGAGCGTGCCTTCTCCCGGCGGGGAGACCTCAAGACGCACATGAGAACGCACACGGGCGAAAAACCGTACAAGTGCGACGTGTGCAAGCGCGCGTTTTCGCGCCGCGGCGACCTCAACACGCACATGAGGACGCACACGGGAGAGAAACCGTACGCGTGCGAGGTGTGCAAGCGCGCGTTCTCGCGGCGCGGCGACCTGACGCGACACGTGCGCACGCACACGGGAGAGAAGCCCTGCAAGCTCGACCTCGCCGATCGATTCTCCTCCTCCTCCGCCTCCTCCGCGGTGGCGGCGGCGGCGGCGCAGAACAGCCTGGCCCTCGTGAAGGATGCGCGGACGGGCGACAAGCCTTTCACGTGCGAGCTGTGCAAGCGAGCGTTCTCCGCGCGCGGGTACGCGAACGCGCGGACTCACGGCGGCGGAGATCGACCGTACACGTGCGACGCGTGCAGGAACGCTTTCTCGTGCCTCGGAAACCTGAAGACGCACTTCGACAACAGCGTCGGCGGAAAGACGCACTACGACGGCGTCGGCGTCGGCGGGGAGCGGGTGTACAAGTGCGAGCTGTGTGAGCGGACCTTCGCGAAGGCCTGCGACCTGAGCGCGCACCTGCGCACGCACACGGGGGAGAAACCGTACCGCTGCGACTCGTGCGATCGCTCCTACTCGAAGCGCGGCGACCTGACCGTGCACGTGCGCACGCACACGGGCGAGAAACCCTACAAGTGCCACCTGTGCGAGCTGGCGTTCGCGCGGCCCGGCGGACTCCAGGTGCACCTCCGGACGCACGCCTGCGAGAAACCGCACAAGTGCCACCTCTGCGAGCTGGCCTTCTCCTCGCAGGGCGGTTTACAACGGCACGTGCGCAGCCACAGTGTCGAAAAACCGTACAAGTGCTACGTGTGCAAGCGTGCGTTCTGCACGCAGGGCGGGTGGCAGCGGCACATACGCACGCACGCCGTCGAGCGGCCGTACAAGTGCGATCTCTGCGACCGGGCGTTCGCGAAGCGCGGCGACCTCAACGTGCACATGAGGACGCACACGGGCGAAAAGCCGCACAAGTGCGAGACGTGCCAGCGCGCATTCTCGCGCCGCGGCGATCTCAACACGCACATACGGACGCACACGGGCGAAAAGCCGTACGCGTGCGAGCGGTGCAAGCGAGCGTTCACGCGCCGCGGCAGCCTCAACACGCACATCCGGACGCACACGGGCGAAAAACCGTACAAGTGCGAGCTGTGCAAGCGAGCTTTTGCGAAGCAAGGGGACCTGATGATACACATACGGACGCACGCTGCCGCCGGCGGCGAAAACAGTTCCAACGTGACGTACGTGAAGGATCTTCCGCTCAGCGATGACATGTGGTACAGCTTTGCTTAGCGAAAGAAAGCGATGACGCGTGGTACAGGTTTGTAAATTTTGATGAGAAAAATCGGTTAAAAATGCGGGAATCGGTTGTCTCACTCTTGTTATTTATCTACTCTTGATAACAGTGATTTATATAGATCTACATGTTGAGGTGCTTTCTTACACTAGTTGGAACCTTCAGTGAATTTATGGACCTGGTTACAGCAAAATACCAAGTGCGCCACTAGTAACACATGTAACCATTTCACGTAGAATTTACGTCGCACTTCTGGCAACAGATGTGCTTGTACCGGAAAAGGTGTGCATATGTTAATTTCGGCGCATACAGGTAATTCGATTTGCAGTGTAATCATGTCCCTCAAAAAGGGCGCGAATCAGAAACGTGTGAATGAGATCATAAATTGCGATTAATCAAGATTTTTATATTCAGAGCCGATTTATCAGTGAAATCGACAGTGTATGCGTGTGAGGAAAATTAGAATAACGCATGCGGGAATTATTAGCAGATCACTAGTTTAGAGCATCGATGGTCTAGATAGTAGAAAGCACATTTGACTTCGAGAAGAAATCGAGGGTTCGAGTCCAACCGTAGCCAATGCCGCTGTGCTCTTGTCGGCTGTAACTGTGCGTTGCTCAAGTCTCGAGCAATGCACAGTTACAGCCGACACCCACTTTAGAAATTTCCCATAAGCTTCCCCGAGTGTAGAGTGTGATAGCGCTGTGTTGGGCTGTTGGGGGCCTTGGCAATTCCAGTGAAATCTCTACTAGGTGTCATGAGGCACTGGACCGAGGGCTTTATGATCGTGCTCAAAAATCAAGGACAAGTCTACTCATTAACACTTGTAAGTGGAAGGAAGTTCTGTAATTACAGACACTATTGTCACACTGTTGACACTCTGTGCGCACGCCGGTAGGAACGCGTGTGTCCACGCCACAATTCGGAGGTCTTCGCCTACAAGGCTACACCACACAGCGCAGCCAACACCTAAGGATTATATTTACCAACGGCAGTCAGAGTCTGCACGAAAAACATCCACCCTCATTGGCCCAGCGGGCCTGTGAAATGTATAATTCACTGGCCCGCACTAGGTTTTACAGGCCCGAATCAATGATCATCATATTATGAAAAGATAAACAGAACTCTTTGTTGTATTTTTAGCTCATCTGACATAGTCAGATGCAGCTTGTAGAATCGCATGATCGTCCGTGCGTCCGTCCGTGCGTCCGTCCGTCCGTCAACAGTTGGGCACAAATCTTAAAGCCGCACAATGCGCATCCAAACGCTAATTTCTCCACTCGCGTAGCGTCCGTCGTGCGTGCCGTCCTGTCCGTCAACAGTGGGCCACAAATCTTAACAAGCCGCACAAGTGCGCATCCAAAGCGCTAATCTTCTTCAGTTACTAGACTAGCAAATACTTCGTGTCATGCATAATCATACTACCTTATGGCCAAAAATAACTCTAGTTCCTCCCATTTCACTGCGCGTTTCTTATAAAAGGTTATTTGAAAATACCTCCGATGTTGTGACAGTTTCAATCTCCAGCAACCGTGCAGCGGTGCCGTCAAGCGGTACGGCGCGCCAGCAAGATAAAAACATCTGACGTCACGTCACCACTTCGATGTTATGTTGTTTGAAACAAGTTAGCGTTGCGCCTTGATTACCTGATTTCGCACCTCTTCTTGTTGGCAACCGCGCAGTCAAATGGGAGGAACTAGAGTTTATTTGCCATAAGGTAGTATGATTATGCATGACACGAAGTATTTGCTAGTCTAGTACTGAAGAAATTAGCGTTTGATGCGCATTGTGCGGCTTTAACCGCTCGACGTACGGTCACGATATTCGCGGACGTGGGGGGGTAATCCGGAAACGAGTTGGGATGTCGAAGCTGGGGGTCAAAGGTCAAAGCTCAAGATGTGTAAAAGAAGGGGGAACATTCACTCCTTAACTTAAGGTATACGGAGGAAATGCAGAATTGCGGCACAAATCTAAACGGCTTCACCGACCTAGCTCGTGATAGTCGGTGTATAGCATCAATGGTAGGAAAAGCCATCACTGTGCCGAAATTGGAGCGTCACGTCAAAGGTCAATGGGCACAGGGCAGATTTTAGACATTTTTCTGAGGACATGGGTCTGACGGAGCAATTGAAAAACTTTTTTTGTTTCAGCGGTGACCTACGCATTTTTATGGCATTATTGAAAGGACCATAAAATCTACTTTCTGCTGACATGCGAAGAGTAAGTGTCAGATAACCTTTTGACCCTCAGAGGAGGGTTAAACATGGATTGTTGACTGTCTGTTAGAAAGAATTGACTGGCGCGGTTTGCTAGTAGAATCTATACATGCCTGGATGTATGAGGCTACAATGTCACAGTGAAATTTCAAAAGCTAAATTTGTGTTAAAGAAGGTTATGCTCCTTAAATCATATAATTTCTATGGCATTCTGTACTGTCAGTATGTTACATGTAACGTATATGCCACTGCCAGTGCATGTGTTGGTGGTACTGTGGAGTTTTTGCCTGCGTTAATTGTGTTACAGGTGGCAGCTCTCTATTGCCAGCCTGTAGGCTTGCGTAGGTAAATGGATGAGTGCTTAGATATTCTGTCTTGCAGATAGTTGTTGCTACTAAGTATGATGGGAGCTTCCATCTTTAATCTGAAGACACTTAAACGTACGCGCCATCTCGTGGCAACTTTCATAAGCGATCCCAACGAACATTCTTTTGAGAAGGTTCCTGATACCATCCCTGTGCATTCACTGTTTCGGCGTGTATGTGAACACATTTGGGACTAACAGGGTTTACTAGAATCCCACACTCCACCACAGAGTCACCGCAGTAGACGTTAGATGAGCGCTGTCGCTTGCTGCGGCACTTGTTTAGCTCATCTGACGTAGTCAGGTGCAGCTTGTAGAATCGCATGATCGTGCGTCCGTCCGTGTCCGTCGTCGCGTGGCGTCTGTCAACAGTTGGGCACAAAATCTTAACGCGCTTGACGTACGGTCCACGATATATTCGAGACGTCTGGGGGGATCGTCAAAACGAGTTGGGATGTCGAAGCTGGGGGTCAAAGGTCAAAGGATCAAGAGGTGTAAAAGAAGGGAACATGCCCTCCTTAACTTAAGGTATAGGGAGGAAATGCAGAATTGCGGGCACAAATCTAAACGGCGTCGACCTAGGCTTGTGATAGTCGGTGTATAGCATCATGGTAGGAAAAGCCATCACTGTGCCGAAATTGTGAGTCACAGGTCAAAGGTCAAAGGGCACAGGGCAGATTTTAGACATTTTTGTGAGGACATGGTCTGACAGGCAGCGATTGGAAAACTTTTTTGTTTCAGTGGTGACCTAGCATTTTTATGGCTTTTATTGAAAGGAACATGAAATGTACTTTTCTGCTGACATGCGAAGAGTAAGTGTTCGGATAACTTTTTGACCCTCAAAAGGCGGATTAAACATGGATTTGTTTACTGTTACTGTTAGACAAGAATTTGACTGCCGGCGTTTGCTAGTAGAATCTATACATGCCTGGATGTATGGGCTGTTGCTATCCCCTGGGCGTGAGGGATCGGTCAGCGTGATTACAGTTAACGTATACATCAAAATTATTACTCATCCGGTAACGATAACTCCAACATCTCCAACGCTAACCCTAACACTAAACATATATATATAGGAGCGCTTTATATAGGGGGTGTGATCCACAAAAATTAATCTATGCTGTGGGGACAGATATCATGATGCAAAAACTCTAACCCTAACCCTAACCCTAACCCTAATCCTAACCCTAACCCTAAACCTAATACTAATACTAATACTAATACTAATAATATTAATCCTAATACTAGTGCTGCCAACGTTGCGGTGTCCCTCCACGCCGGGGGATAGCATTACCGGATGTATGAGGCTACAATGTCACAGTGAAATTTCAAAAGCTAAATTTGGTTGAAGAAGGTTTATGCTCCTTAAATCGTATAATTTTCTATGGATTCTGTACTGTCAGTGTGTTACATTCTAGCGTATGCCACTGCCAGTGGCCACTGCCAGTTGCATTGTGGTGGTAGTGACTGTTGGTAGTTTTTGCCTGCGTTAATTAGTTACAGGTGGCAGCTCTTCTATTTTTAGCCTGTAGGCTTGCGTAGGTAAATGGATGAGTGCTTACCTATTCTGTCTTGCAAATAGTTGTTGCTACTACGTACGATTGGGAGCTTCCAATCTTTAATCTGAAGACACTTAAACGTACGCCGCCATCTTGTGGCAACTTTCATAACGATCCAAGGAACATTCCTTTGAGAAGGTTCCTGATACCATCCCTGTGCCTTCCACTGTTTGCGGCGCGTATGTGAACACATTTGGCACTAACAGGGTTTTACTAGAATCCCACCACTCCACCACAGAGTCACGCGCAGTAGACGTTAGATGAGCGCTGTCGCTCCGGCGGCACTTGTTTTCATTCAAATCTCGCTCGCAGCAAGGCAGCTTTATATGTCTGTGCAAAACAATGCATAGGGACGGGTGAAACAGAAAAATCTCATTATGTCTAGCCATTCATAAAAAACTTGCTTGCCGCCGAACAGGCAATGCAATTTCAAGCTACTTGCTCGGGTCCGCGAATTTTGGTTGCTCCGGCCATCGGGCAAGCGGGTTTGTCGAGCACGCCGCACCGCAGGGTCCGAATTTCGGATGAAAATCTAGTGGACAGCAGGACCACCGACTTCAGAAAAGTTGGTGGACCTGCCACAAAAATTTGGTGGTCGGCTTATTTACTAGCAGTGAGTAACAAAATATTATATAAAGATAACGCATTGGCATTAAAACAGCATACATGTAACTTAATTAGAGTTTGGTCAAATAATGTTTCAATTCTTGGGAATGTTGGGGGAGCCGTTCTGGGTAAGGTTTTACTTTCGTTTTTCTCCTCCACGCGTCCATGGTACCCCCATGCATAGATCAATGCCTGCCGCACATCCGCAAAGTTACAAGTGCCTAGAATCTGTTATATAATATATACAGTTCACATTGCTTCTAGATATCTACCTGAATAAAAACAGTCTACTTTTAGCGTTAAGAAATGACGAATTCAGTTAACAGCTTTGATTACGGTGCATTTCAGGTGTCAGCTGGTCATGCCCTCACTCCCTACGATAACCCCTGCAATATATAAACTTATTGTTATGGCGGTCATAAAAACACTGGCATGCCGGCGATGCACAATCGATTTTTTAGACTAATTCACGAGTTTTTGTTCGTGGAGATGTGGCACAAGCAAAAACTTGGTGACCTCCGGGTCGGAACTAATTTCGAACGCTGCCGGCCGGCACAGGAGCGTTTTTTTTCTCGATATCTTCCAAAATTTTCGCTCTCGTAATTGTTGTTATCCAGAGCGCTTTGAAAGCTGACGGACGGCGAAATCGCTCGCCGCTCCCGTGTATTTTTTTCGCTGGTGTCTGTGCGTGCGTGTGCGTGCGTGTGAATTGCCACGTGGGAGAGAAACCCCTATCAGTTTAACACCTTTATTTCGAACATAAATCCTATAACATGAAGTAATGTTCTCTCGTTTTCAGGTAACATTCGACTCCGCACGTGAAATACCACGCGGAGGGAAACCCCTACCAGTTCCACCTGTGCGGCACGAGCTTCTCTCTCGGAGGAGGCAACAAGATGCACATGAACGCCTTCTCCTCCGCGAAAGAAACGCCTACACTGCGACATATCTGCGAGCGCGCCTTCTCCCGGCGGGGAGACCTCAAGACGCACATGAGAACGGCACACGCGGGCGAAAACCGTACAAGTGCGACGTGTGCAAGCGCGCGTTTTCGCGGCCGGCGGCCGACCTGCAACACGCACATGAGGACGCACACGGAGAGAAGCGCGTACGCGTGCGAGGTGTGCAAGTCGGCAGCGTTCTCGCGGCGGCGGCGACCTGACCGCGACACGTGCGCAACGCACACGGGAGAGAAGCCCTGCAAGCTCGACCTCGCGATCGATTCTCGCTCCTCCTCCGCTCTCCTCCGGGTGGCGGCGGCGGCGCAGAACAGCCTGGCCCTCGTGAAGGACGCGCGGACGGGCGACAAGCCTTTCACGTGCGAGCTGTGCAAGCGACGCGTTTCCGCGCGCGGTAGCGCGAACGGCGGCGACTCACGGCGGCGGAGATGCGACCGTACACGTGGACGCGTGCAGGAACGCTTTCTCGTGCCTCGGAACTGAAGACGGCACTTCGACAACAGCGTCGGCGGAAAGACGCACTACGACGGCGTCGGCGTCGGGCGGGGAGCGGTGTACAAGTGCGAGCTGTGTGAGCGGACGCTTCGCGAAGGCCTGCGACCTGAGGCGCGCACACTGCGCACGCACAGGGGAGAAACGCGTACGCTGGACTCGTGCGATCGCTTCCTACTCGAAGCGCGCCGACCTGACCGTGCACGTGCGCACGACACACGGGGCGAGAAAGCCCTACAAGTGCCACCTGTGGCGAGCTGGCGTTCGCGAGCGCGGCCCGGCGGACTCCAAGGTGCACCTCACGGACGCAGCGCCTGGCCGAGAACCGCGCAGCAAGTGCCACCTCTGCGAGCTGGCCTTCTCCTCGCCGGGCGGTTTACAACGGCAGCGTGCGCAGCCCACAGTGTCGAAAAACCGTACAAGTGGCTACGTGTGCAAGCGCGCGTTCTGCACGCCAGGGCGGGTGCAGCGGCACATACGCACGCACGCCGTCGAGCGGCCGTACAAGTGCGATCTCTGCGACCGGTGCGTTCGCGAAGCGCGGCGACTCAACGTGCACATGAGGACGCACACGTGCGAAAAGCCCGCCACAAGTGCGAGACGTGCCAGCGCGCATTCTCGCGCCGCGGCGCATCTCAACACGCACATACGGACGCAACACCCGGCGAAAAAGCCTGACGCGTGCGAGCGGTGCAAGCGAGCCGTTCCAGCGCGCCGCGGCAGCCTCAACACGCCACTCCGGCGCAGCGACGCAATCAGCGCAGAAAACCGCTAACAAGTCAAGTGCGAGCTGTGCAAGCGAGCTTTCGCGAAGCAGGGGGACCTGATGATACACATACGGACGCACGCTGCCCGCCGGCGGCGAAAACAGTTCGCAACGTGACGTACGTGAAGGATCTTCCGGCTCAGCGATGACATGTGGTAGCAGCTTTGCTTAGCCGAAAGAAAGCGATGACGCGTGGTACAGCTTTGTTTAGCGAAAGGAAGCGATGACGTGTGGTACAGCTTTGTTTTAGCGAAAGAAAGCGATGACACGTGGTAACAGTTTTGCTTAGGCGAAAGGAAGCGATGACATGTGGTAGCAGCTTTTGTTTAGCAGAAAGAATAGGCGGATGAAATGCGTGTACAGTTTTGCTTAGCGAAAGAAAGCGATGACGCGGTGGTAGAGCTTTGTTTAGCGAAAGGAAGCGATGACGTGTGGTACAGCTTTGTTTAGCGAAAGAAAGCGATGACACGTGGTACAGTTTTGCTTAGCGAAAGGAAGCGATGACATGTGGTACAGCTTTGTTTAGCAAAAGAAAGCGATGATGCGTGGTACAGTTTTGCTTAGCGAAAGG